TCCCATGTTATTCGCCCCGCTAACCCAAGAGCCGGATGCGAGGGCCGATGATCCGGAGGACTACGCGGTGTGCGTTGGCGTCGGGCGCGAATTGGTTGCTTGCCCGTATGTAAAGCGGCTTGGTTCATCGGTGTCGTGGCCGACGGACGCAAAGGTCCAGCTTCCACCTACTTTACCAGGCGCCGAATACAGTAATTACTGGACAGGTGGATGGTGGGAGACTGGGGCAAAGGTGCCTTTGCGGCCATGGACTGCAAATGTGGATAAGCGATGGCTGGGGAAGTTCAAGTCATTCGATCGCGCAAAAGCGGGGAGTACCGATCCTTTCATCTGGTCAGACATCCCTTTATTCCAGCGGGTTGGATCGATTGTGCCGACTTTCCTCGCGTTGGGTGGGCAGATGTCTAGTACACGTGCCCCTGCCAACTACAGTCTGACTATTGCTTTTCCTAAACAGCTGCGCACGGCCTGGGAGGACTCCTTACAGGACCCTGGTAAACCAATTCCGCTGGCAAGTGGCGAGGTGTACTGGGATGACGGCACTAAAAATACACAAATCAATCCGCCCCCGCAGAAGGCACCACCACACCAGGATCAGAGATCGTCATCCAAAGAGGTTTATTGCCATGTCCAGTTGGAGTGCTACTTAAAGCACGGGACGTTGATGCTGTCTGGTACACAGGTATCTTCAACTTGCCTTGAATCACTAAATGCGTTGGCCTTTACTTGGAACGATTTGCCACCGCAAATGGATGCGTGGCTGAGGCCATTAGTGGCGCGACGAGAGGGCATACGCCATGCCGAAGCAGTTAAGCGTAATGAAGAGGAGGACAGAGGTCTTTACGGGTTTAGGAGAAACCTACAGCGCCGCGCTGAGGAAGCGACTCTAAACGACTCTGTGGATGACATGGGCCATGATCCAAATACCAAAATTCATGATAATCTGCACACGACGTTTTCGCTTCATTATGTTAGGTTTCTTGTAGCTTCTCAAGAGGATGTTGCATGGCTTGTTAAGAGGCTTGGGTCGATCGTGGAGCCAACCGAAGAAGCAAGCCCATTGACACTTGTTGTGCCCCTCACTGCGCCGCTGAAGGGGGGGAAGATGAATGTACCGTTCATGAAGAATAAAATTTGTTCTCTTTTTGGAATAGACCTACTTACAACCGAAGCAGTTGAGAAAAATCAATCTGATCACGTGTGTCAAACCTCCCCATGGGTTATTGCATTTTAAAAATGGGCACGTTGGCACCGTTTAGCTTCTTCTCCATCCCCCTTTCTTTCTTACCAATCGTCGCTTTCCTGTGTGAGAGGAAAATAATTATTTTCAAATATCTATTTATTTTATGACCATGTTCATTTATTTTTTTATTAACGTTAAGAGAAGGTTAACAAAAGAGAGAAATATATCTAAATGTTATTTATGTTATTATTATTTTTTTATCTTTAAGACTAGTGACTAAATGTACGTATTTCGGAATTGAGCATCCAACAGAGAAACACACGCATAACAACTTTCGTATTAGCGTTTTTGGATTCTCAGTATATCTCTTTATTTATTTCTTATGTGCGCTTTGATTTATTTACGCGAGTATCTAGGGAAAAAATATGGTTTCATTTTATACTTAATTTTTCATTTGTGAACACCACATTATGATAAGCCTCTGGAATATTCAAGTAAATGGGTTAAATTATCCTTCGCATCAACGTAGCTTTTTCCTTTTCTCTCTCCTGTCTTAAAAAAAACAACATCTTTAAGTGTCAGACAGTGGGCTACATTTTCTCTGCGGTTGTTGCTTCATGATAACATATATGGGTATGAGTCGGTACTTGCACCTATAAAGGACAAAATACGGATAAAAGCATCGTAGCAGCGAATGAAGAGGACTGCATGGTATGCATTGAATGGTGTCCCACCACCACTCAAAGTAATACCGGCTTTTCAACCTTTGCCATTCAAGCACGACAAATTTTTAGCTATCAAAAGCCGATCCGCTGATAAGTGGGTTGACTCCTGCAATGATATTCTTTCCCGTTCTTGTGCGCTGAATCAGAAAGTTAGTGAATATTTCAACCTTCATCACGTTCCTCCCATCACCGCTGCACCTGTAAAAGGGAACGTTTCTGAAAGTGAGGGTTATACCAAACCTAACGCGGCCCCATCTCACGTCGAGGCCTTACCATCTTATCTCATTGAGGAATTACACCAAATCAACAAAAAAGCTCAACGCTTGACCACTATTCAAGGCTTCGTTTTAAGCGATCGGTTGGTTTTCGACATGTTTCATATAAACGTGATGAACGGCGACTATAATACAGCGCTAACGCTGTGGCTGCGGTCGCACATTCTCGGAGACGAGCAACGCGGGCCACCGTATCCGCTTTGGCTCCTGCAAGATTTGGTCTCCATTCTAGGGGTCCATCTCATGAGTAGCTTGCCAGACAGTGCGGCCAATTTTCATATGCTTTCAGCCTTTCCTTCCGGCCGCAATCTCGGTGGTTTGGGGGCGGATAAGGAGACGCTTCGCACGCTACTTGAGCATGAATGGCGCCCACCGCAGCCACAGCGATGGGATGACGATGTCGGCCAAACCAATGGAAGATCTGCGGATGACGAAGCCGATTGGGAAGCACCTTTGCTCTACACCAACTCTTCCAATCGCTATACACGGCATTATTTAATCCATTACTTCTTGCCGGTGTGGCGTGCGGCGGGCAAGATGGGCCTTTTTTTTGATGACCTTCGGGAAAATGCCCGGTTGTCCTTGGCGGAATCGCCCGAGGAGGCAGCGGATGGGAAGATGGATCCCGTGAATGGGATGGCACGTGGTCGCGTAGGGGACATTTTGCCTTCTGTTAAAACCCAGAACGCGGTGGTTCGGCAGCTTCTGATGTCTTTTATCCCAGTGCAGTTCCCGAGCCCCCGTGAGGCCGACGCGGACGCGGTTTGGATGCCCCTCCGGGTTCTGACGGAATTACTGATCGCCCTGGCGGCCTGTGCGGCGGAGGCGAAGGAGCCCTGGCTTTTATTATCCCTGCAGACTACATTTTGTACCGCCTTCCTCACCCGTTCCGACGACGCGGAAGCAGCGGGCAGGTTAAATGGGGGTCGAGTTGGGCTCAATACAGAGGCCTGGATTGGGTATCTCGAGGAACTCGGTCCCGATGTGAGCGCGGCGTTGGTCTCACAGGTGCACGATCTTCTTGAGCGCTTTAGTCTGGACATCATCTCGCTGGTGAATTATGGTCGGCAGGCCTTTCGATCGGAACAGCAACTTTGGGCTGCGTATGACGCCTTGCGTTTGATGGCAACGGCAACGCGGCATTATCAATCCCGCGATACCGCTCGGAATGAGAAGGGGACCGCATTCCGATACTCGGAGGAATTTTTTAATCGGCTTTCCCGCATCCTGCGCGCGACGTCGCCGGTGGGGACCCCTCTCGACGATGAAGTGGTAAACCCCGATGACGCGAGCCACCCTCAGGCGCAGGCGCATCTTTGGGGCGAAACCTCGGCTTTGGTCAGCTCTTATATCCGTGGGTTATCCCCGGTAAGTGAGGCGGTGGCGCAGGCCATTCTTTACGTCGGCTACGCCTGCCAGGACCCCAGTTTGATCCCCGACGAGGAGAATTTTCCCCCGAACGTCTTTATGGCTGCACGTCCTGAAAGGATGAGGGGGAAAGACGCGGCGTGCGGTGAGGGGGCGCGATGGTCCTTGTTGGAGCGCACTCTTCTCCTGCGTAATATTCAACACCAACAGCGGCTTGCCCTGGGGTGTTTGATGAATGTGGAAGATCACCACGATGACGGAAATTCAGGAGTTGAGACTGAAAATGGATTTGATTTCGGGCTCGAGGCGGGCGCGCGATCCCCTGGATGGCTGGAGGAGCTCATGACGGGATTGAAGATCCAAAGAGACCGGGGGGTCTTCGGTCAGGCAGGGGGAGGCGCACTTCCTACCGTGGATTTCGCTCGCATACGGCCAATAGTGGACAGTTTAGCGGAGCGTTTGGTGTGTTTGACCCTCATCGACGTGGTGGAGTGGTGGCGCACAACCGATGAGCGGCTTGGCCACTATCGAGACGGTTCGACCTGCGAAGGTACCACACCCTATCACACCCCACAGGCGCAGTTTGAGGATCAAAGGGTCAAGGGGATGGATGACGGCCATCCATCCTTATCGCCTGAGGACAACAACGAGGCGCACGATGCCAATGGGGATTACGAAAGGGGTGCTTCCGATGGGGCACCCAGTTTAGTGGATCACAACGAGGATGGCCCGACTGAGGAGGCGCCCAATGCCGAAGACGCGGATGCGGCGATGTGGTTCGAGAGCCTGCAAGAACTGCAGGTTCCGAAAACGCTTCAACGCCGTGTTGACGAGTTATTTGCGGCGTTGAAGCTCGCCGTGGGTAATCCACTAGAGGGAAAGACTCCGTCCTGGTGCAGTTGTGTAAGTCCGGCTGCGGCTTCCGTCCTCGCGGTGCTTCTGGCAGGGTTTCCCACGAATGGCCTTGGGCATCTCGAAGACGAACAGGAAATCGTCGATGGGATCTGGGGCGATCTGGTGGATATCGCGACCTACCATCTTTCTTTTCTCCATACCAGCGCTATTAACGTCACCGAGGATAACATGGAGACCGAGGTCGCTTCACCGCTGTCAGGGTTATTTGGTAATTCCATAAGTATTCTGCTCCTGATGCTTGCGCGAACGGCCCAGTGGGATCTGGCCGAGCGACTTCTTTGCAGGCTGGAAGCATACGATGGGGAGCATTCACAGCCGCCGAATTCGGACGGACCCATGTCTGACGACGGGGTTTGGTGGCTGTGGTCCGGCGTAACTATGGACCCTGAGATCTTTTCCGAGGTTTTCAGTCGTGCGAGGGAAGATGGGGCAACCGTGGTATGTGCAATGCTTTCCCCAAAACGAAAGCAGCTTTTTTTCTGATAACTTTGTGTTCCTAAGGTTTACGAAATAACTGCGTTGGTAAAAGGCGCACGTACTATTGAACTCTACTAGCGATAAATTGTGCTGAGCTGAAAAGGAGGCTTCTTTTCGTCGAATGCTCCACATAGTTTGATGAAACGCCCATGAGACTTATTCTTGCTATTTTTACATTGTGGATTTGCTCCACCATTATTTAATTATTCTAATCTCAGAAAGGAGGAGTGGGGTAGTTTATGATTCCCTTTTGAGAACCACCACACCACGACCTCTTTCATATTTATTTATTTCTTTTTATCCTTCCTCCGAACTTTTTTTTTCTTTTGTTCTCCTCGGCCAAGCACGGTTACGTACTGTAGAACCCCCACCCCACCCCCCTTTTTTTTTAGAGCCCATTCTCTATGCGTCGCACCCTTGTGGGGTGCACGGCGACCCCCGAGAAGTACACTATCCTGGGGACGACCCACCCCCACCCCCGGCGGACCGGCTTCGGCCGCGATAACAAAATGCGCTCCAAACCCAGCGATAACGTGGCGTGGTACGACAAAGGCCCGGTGGAGTGGCTCCCACGCCCCGTACGCCTCACCCACGACCATTTAGATCGCCTGCGCGCGTGGATGATGCGCGAGACGTTGGAGGGTCGTACCGAGGCGTTCGACCGCATACGCGCCCTCCATCGGGAATGGTCCCAGCACGTCTTGATGCCGGTTCTCGGCGATGTCGAGCCCAGGTTCCCGACGAATTTGTTCAAGCAAAATCACTGCGCGAAGCGGAGGTTTTTGGTTCGTTGGCATAAGGCGAATACGCCGGAGCACTGGGTGTGGATGCCGCGTGGACCCGCCATGGTGACCCCACTCCATCGTTCTCATCCATCGCAGTTTCCTGAGAATTGGCGGCAGCTGACGCGTCAAAGCAACCTGAGTGGCCCATTGCACTCGATGGATGGAGGTGAAAAAAGGGGACTACCGGTCTAAACGATGGGGCGGATAGTTGGGTCGCCATGGACACGCAATAAATCGATTTGAGCCATACCGGTGCATAGTAGTGATAAACTCGCGCAGATTTTTTATAAGCTTTTGATTTTCCTATTTACCGAAAGCACGGAAAAAAATCGATGTCATACTGAACTAAAGAAATATGTGTAGTAATATACAACAAAATCATTGTTCATTTACCCTCTTGAGGCGAAACTGGACGAAACATCGATTTTTATTTGATTCTGTCCACGGACAGTTTTTTGGTTGTTGTCCCTCCTCCCCCTTTCCCCCCCCCCTTCTGCGTCTAAATTCCTCTTGTTCTTGGAGAGGGAAAGATGGGGTATCAAGTTTATAAGTTATTAGGCAATGATGCTTGAAATAGCTATATGCCGCATATGTGGATCAAGTCTGGATATCTTTTCTTTGTTAATTCTGACAATTTTTACATTGATACCCTAAAAATGTTTTCATTAATTTTTTCTTCAATTCCTCGTTTTTAATTTGTCATATTTTTTTTGAATATTCTACGTTACAATCAAAAGCGTGGAAAAAAGGCTGTATAAATCAAAAAAAAAGCGAACAAGTGCACAATCTGATCTGAAGAAAAGACCAAACGTTTTGCTTAGACTTTTACCGATTAAAATTTGGAGGCAGATAGATAACGAAGTGATCGAAATAAGATCCAGTACACACATCCACAAATATGTTCGATCTGAGATACAGTCGTTACTACATGATGTTTATTTATATAGTTCTTACTGTCATGTTGTCTGGGTGTTTTAAAGTAAGCTTTTTTGGTTATTCCCTTGTTATAAAAAATCCTCACTTCAGCAGTTTAACTGCTGAACCAATGAGTAACATGACTGAAGATGAAAAAGCGGCGAGGTATTCTAGGGCAAACGAATTATCGAGACCTTTGAATTGTTCACTACATAACTTGAATTCCAACCTTACTTATGTAACCCTTGGTATTTTTGGCTTTGATGGTGTGATGGATTGCATAAGAAGAGTGATGCACTACGCAATTTTTCGGTTTTCTAGCTATGCAGCTGTCTCCTTTATAAGTGGATGCCAAGTGATTTTACTAACTACTTTCTTTATGAGCTTTACGGTAAAATATCTGATACTTTTATCATGGATTTCCACTGTCACCATTTTGATTGCGGCTTATGAAGTATATGAACTACTTTATCGGTCAAACTGTACAGGAATATTAGAAGCCTTTGACTTTTTTCTTAAGATACGTATGGAAAAATCTATATGCGTAACCTATGGAATTGCCGTTGTTATCTCCGCAATTTCGAGCGTATTGTCTTTATATTTATAAGAAATTATCAGAAAGGGAGAATTCGCTTTTTTGTTTGAAGTATTTTTTCTATATTTAGCGTTATGAAACATCTGCCTTAATCCCTTTTACTATATTTATCATTACTACTATTTTCCATATTTGCCTTTTTTTACTTTGTCTTTTTATAAATTTATTTGGACTATTAATTTCTTTTAATATTTCATTGAATCGTATGTTACTACAACGCAGAGAAAACAATACGTACTACTGTGCAAAGTTAATCGACCATTTACCTTTAGTGGATTTATCCACTTAAGTGCTTAAGCAATCTTTAAAATAACGCTCTGAAATTTAATATGTTTCACAAACAAGGAGAATATATATATGATTTATTATATGTACAAATCTTCACAGATAACTCGATATGTTAGTTAGCTTCCTTAGAAGCTTCTCCCTTCACACAAATACATTTTTTTTAATTTGTCTTTAAAATGTAGAAAAAGGGTGTATATTATTATATAATGTATATATATAATTTTTAGAATTTGTGTAATTTTTCTTACCTCATGCTTTGTGTATACAAAACAGAGAAAATAACTTTTATTTAATATTATGATATTTATTTTCAGATGATTCCAACAGCATTATGACTTTTTTTTGTACTTCCAAAATTTTCATATCTACTGGTAAAAAATGGAATAAGTTAGAATCAGGATATAAATACAAATGGATGTCATAGGTCTTCACATGAATTAGTTCAAGAGTATAATAAGTATGATGTTCCCGTATATATATTGTTCAATTAAATTTACAAGCATATTTGTATGCTTATTATTGATATTCAATGTGCAATTTCATTTCTTCAAATGGTTTCCAAGTTGCGTTCTAAATTTTTGAATAGAAAAATCTGATAAAACTATTAACATACCAATACACCTGTAATGGATACTATATCCTTCTATATTCATTCAAAAATGTCTGTGTAAGTCATCTATTCGCTATTGTAATTCTGTTGTTGCCGAATAATAGTTAAGATATCATTGAAAAGGGAATTGAACAATAGTTAGGGTGGCTTCCCCTCCTTCATAGTATACCTTCCTTTGACTTTTCGGTAAAAACGCGAAAAATGGGCTACACAATTCGCTATGCGGTATTATTATTAAGTATTATCGCCTTCATCTTTGCACTTCTCGGAACCGTTCCGCTGCCTTATTTGGTGCGTAAATTAAATCAGACTTACATGCAAAATGGCGAGGTCGTCGCGACTTTATGGTCAATCTACGCGACTAAAATTCAATTAGGGAAAGATACCACCATGGCCGTCCCGCCAACGCGCGAGATCCGCAATTATCGCCTTCACTGTGATGAGGAGCGAAATCGATTTAAGGCGATGCAGATATTTGCAATTCTTGGAGTGGTCTTCGGATTTTATGCCATTCTCATGTCGTGTCTGCAGTGTTGCTGTTATTTAAAGGTCAAGTTACCGTTGTTTTTTATATTCGCATTATCTTTCTTGTCGGAGATTATTCTGATTCTGATTGGGATTTCCCTTTACAGAAATACTGGCTGCAAGGGCAAGCCCGACGCCTTTGCCTCCTTTAAGGATGCTAATTACACTTTCAAAACGTCTTTCGTAATGCAGATTTTATGCTGTTTAACATACTTGTTATGCTTAGTGCTAACTCCTTATACCCAGGGTTTACGGCATGGAAAGTTCTAGCGGGGAGAAAAACACGAGAAAGCTGTACTATTATCAGTCGTTTGGAACCATCTTATATTCGCTTGCTCTGTAAAAAAATACCCCAAAAAGATCGCTTCAAACATCAACACTTTTTAAAAAACTAGTGTTATTCTACATAATTCATTGTTCAACGCTAAAAGTAAGATCAGATGTGAAATCATGATGATGATTCAATTGTCTTTTCACCCGTATTTTATTAAATAAATGTAAAAAATTTTTACTGAGTGCATCAGATTTTTAAAAATATATTACACATGTACATATACGGCAAAAAAAAGAAGTTGAGGCTTTAATAAATATATTTTTTTCATACTTATGGATTAAACCCTTTATGAAGCATAAAAAAAATTAAAGATTGAAAACAACAATGTGAACGTAAAGATTGGGACTCTAACATAGTATACTTTTGTGCATATTTGCAACATACACTAGTAAAGTAAAGCTACAGAAACTCCATTTAAGATATGGGTATTTTCTCTTTTAAATATAGTCCTTTATATTATGCCAGTACTTCAGTCTGTTTCTTATACCCTATTGAATTGTAGAAATTCCTTTGGAGATAATCACGACAAAGGAAACCCTTCTTGATTTTAAATAAGAAGAAAAAAGGACTAAGATTGCTGTTCTTGATTATATTGGGTTCAGACAATTAACTTAGTATCGATAAATAATAATACACACATAGTCAAAAAAAAAAATGAAGACCTCATATTTTCGTATCATTCTTTCTGTTCTATTCGCGCTATACACCATTTTAGCATCTATATCTATGCTAGTACCGATCTTTCGCAAAGAAAAGAATAGCATAACTCGAACTATTTATTACTCATGCGTGAAATCGGCAGCGAACGGGAAAGCCTATAGTCAGCTCATCTACGGCTTAAATTGCGGTAGCCTGCGATTTTTACTTATATTTGCTCTATTTTCAAATGCTGTCGGCACCGCGTCTTGTGCAATGTCGTTTATTCTCTCCATCATTCATTACTTTGTAATAATTGAGGTGTCCCTCGTTTGTTTTGTAGTCTTGTTCTCCTTTGTAGCCTTCTTTATGTTTACCATGTGCAGTTTGTGTATGATATGTTTGTACTATGCGTCATTTTGTCAAAGCAACATCCTTAAAACCTATTCCTTTAAAGATGATAACTATGAATATGCCAGTGGATTTTATTTAATGATTCTAGTTAGTTTAGGTTCCGTGGTTGCTTTCATTATGGCTGCCTATTTGGCCAGTATTCACCCACTTAACGAGAAAAATAACGATGACTATAGGCTCCAAGAATATGATTGCTCTCAGGACTCACAATATTATTCTGTAGGATCTTACCGAGGGATGGGATCTTTTCGAAGTATGGGATCCTACCTAGGGAATTACGAGGATTCAGACGATGATGTGGTACGCTTTTAAGATCTACAGGTCAGAAAAATGTTTTTATTTTTAATGACATACATCAATAGCACAAATTTACGTCTTAAATTATTATAACATTTTTTTCAAACAAAATCATTGTTATTTTTACCTTTTTTGCTTTATGTCACATAAGCAATATGTATTTTTTTAATTCTGAAGGGAAACATTGTATTTTATATTCGTGGTCTTTGATTTTTGTTTTTTACTTATAAATGGAATGGTGACTTTATTTTTTCTATGGTCTTCTGAATTTGTAAATGACCCCTTTTTAGTTAAATGGGCTTTATGATTCTCCCTTTTTCCTCATTTACCCGTCCTGGTGACGTAGAGCATCGTATTTTTTTTCCCCATTCAAACATTTAATTTCTTTATTTTGTGTTTCTATGTTTTCCTCTTATGTTATTGTATCTTTTCATTATGCGCGAAGTTTCCATTAAAAAACTTTATATTTTAATACAAATCAAATTCTAACGTGTATTTAATGCCGTACTTTTTTTTTTATGATTTCGGGCTGATCGTGGAATCCTTTAACGTGAGCTGCATATTCCTTATTTGCGTTAAAATAAACTCTTCTCTTTCTCTAATCCTAGTTACTTCAATTACACGCATATTATTTTTCCAGTTTTCACACCAAAAGGGTTGCCCCTTCGGCACGGCAAATTTCTATGTCCAGCAGTCCCTAATCGGTGAAAGCCTCAGGATTGATAAAGGCCTTCCAATGGAGCTCGAAGGCGATGGAAATTTTATTTATATAAACTGTCTATATATCGCTGATGAGCCAGAGACCAAATACGAAGATCCCGTGTATAGGCATGGTCTTCCTTTTCTGATGCTCGGTGAATTTATCGAAAGGGATCTTCTTTCTCTAAAAGACATTCCGAGCATGTAATACCTTTTTTTTTTCAGGGACTTATTAATAAATATATTCATTAATAAATGCTTGATTCGCTACGGTATTAAGGGCAAGCGAATAATACGCGTAATAAGCGATTTGAGAGAGCTTATTTGCTATTTTCATCAATGTCTTCCGTCTCATAGTAGATATTCTTACAGTGAGGACACTGTTTGAGTGAAAATTATTTATATGCTATAAGTCAATAATTTACTTACACAAATTTCATTTGGATTTACTTTAAACTGCTTCCGAAGTCTGAAAGTAATGAAAACAAAGAAACTGGTTGCAATAGAAAAATCAAAAACACAATAGAACCTACCCCTTTCAAAAAAGGGAAGACACTTTTCTATCAGATTAACTTTTTGATTCAAATACTATGTTAGGGAATTCCTTACCCC